ACATCACCACAAACATGCCAAATCTTCACCTCCAAAATGCTGAGCCCTTGGTTCACACTGGCAGCAATGAAGTGCAATAACACAAAGGCTGTAGTAGTTGATAGGAAACTCGGATTCTGACCACTTTTGGGCAGCCTGCCTTAACAACCCTATTAGGGTTCACCTCCAGGTAGCAAAAATAAGGCTACTTCTTGTCCACCTTTCACATGCCTGTCTTATCTTTCAGAGGCATTAGCTGAAGCTGCCATTCCTCATGAGAGTCTCTGCTCAGGTAGGTTTATGGCCCCACGGTGAGCTCTGAGGATGCCTTCTGTCTGCTTCTCACACCTTCCATAGCAGTCAGTGCTCCTCTCAGCTATAATCCCTGCAATACCTGAAAGGAGGGACTTTCTACAGGGGCCAGAAGCTGGATTCAGGGCTTTAATGGAGCCTAACCGAGTGCAGTCTCTCTCTTTAGACATTCAAAAGACATCTAAAGGCGGAGTAGATTGGATTCCCTGATGCAAGGCTAATGTCATCATAATTACAGAAATGAATGGTCAAAAATCCTCCTTGCCAGACTACCTCCATGGATGAATCAATATGTATTTTATACCATTCCTGTTACTGCTGTTTCTCTGGTGTTTGCAGGTGAGCTCATGCTGAAAACCACCAGCCTGTCAATTAAAAGTCTTATAGACAGGGACCTTAGAAATTAATCCTAGACTGGAACCTTTGCCCAGTTTTATTGAATCAGTCATTATGGTATTTCCTCTTTACCAGGGGAAATCCCTGTCTCTCTAGTTACCTTTTCATTCCAGTTTTGTGCCCAGTTCAGTTACCTGGTTCTCACTACTTTCTCTTCTGTTCGTGGTGAACAAAACTACTTTATCCATGGAACAGTATTTCCTATGGCTTTGAAGATAGTGAAGCTAATTTAAAACACACACACACATGGATCCATGTCTGCCTGCACACACCTGCAGACACACACACACGATTAAAATTCAGTCCAGGAGGAAAACTCTGTGAACAGGAAATCATGACACCGTGCAGCAGGTAACAAAGCAAAACCTTACTGTAAACACCTGGAAAAACAGATGCTGAGAGGGTGTGAGCCAGAGGCTGGGAATCACACAGATCTCCTTTGTATTTCATAATATAATTCTAGACAACACTGGGCAAAACTGGCCATAGCATGGGGAGAAGCAGAAAAATCTACCATGGTCTACAAGACGGACCACAGGCTCACTGAGAACTTTGCCAAGGAAGGGAGTTTCTCCCACTGAAATATAAAACTGAATTAATAGCAAGTAGATTATAAAGGAATATTGTCTCCTTGCTCACGTCCATGGAATAAATGCAATAGCTCTTGTTGACGTGTGCCCTTGAAAGACATATGCTGGTTTACTAGGAGAGAAACTAAGGGTTCAAATGCTACCTTCAAAGGAGGGTTTAGGTGGGGTCAGAGCCCCAACGTTTCTGGCAACCTGAAGCTCTCAGAGATGCCAATAGAAATTCAAGCTGCTCAGCATATTATTAGAGGTGCACAGAACCCCACAGCACCAAGACAGAAGACAGCTGTTTACTGCTTGACATCAGAGCCTCTTGCACCAAGCAGGGAAAGAGTGAAGCAAAGGAAACACAAATGCCTTTGTGCCAGCAAAGGAAGATCTATAGAATAGTGTCAGTGGTTTCCAGGGTTAGGAGTGGAAAACTCATGGTGACTCTTCCAGGACCTTTGACTCCTGTATTATGTTCCCACTTCTAGATGCCCTGTGGAATGAAGCCACATAAACTCTTGGAGCCTTACAAACTCCAAGAGGCTGCCCAAACCTGCCTACATTGTCAGATCTTCTCCAAAAGCCACAGAGTCAGAATGACTCCGGCATGTACTTGCTCAAGCATAGTCCTTCTGCTCTCCATCTCTTTTTTCTCCTGAGAGAAAGCCAACCAGTTTATATTCTCTGCCTGATAATCTGTCCTCTTAGGTTAACCATGAATTCAAATATTGTAATGCTTAGAAACAAACAGAAAATGTAAGAAAGTTAGCTAAAATAGGTAAATTCAAGATGAGTATCTGAAGATCTACTACACAGTAGCAAACAACAGAAACCAGCAACATAGGTTGTCCCAAGCACCAATCATTCCTGACTCCTAAAGGCACCAGGAACTGTCTGATGCTTCTGTATCCCTTGTAAAATTAAGATCAGTACTGATTTAGAGGGTGCTGAGATAGCCAGACCTTAATTTGATCCGGTTTAACTGTCCAGCACTTAAGAGTGTCCTGCCCTCACAGGCCAAAGTGTAATAGTCCAAAGCATTTAAGTCTTCTGTGGGCAGACAGCTTTTGGGAAAAGACTTACCAAAGCAAGGCCCCATGGCCTGGAGATCAGCTCTTCTCTCTTCACCCTCATCTGCTCAGCTTGCTGTCACATTGTTGCTGAGGCCAGCTCTTCCCCAACAGCTTTGCCAAAATCTCTTAAATCACTTGAATTTTTTTTAAGACATCCAAGACAAACAGTCCCAGAGAAGGGAACTGGGATGGGGAAATTATTGACATACTTACTGACAGAGAATAGATTTTCTTGAGAATTGAAAATATATTGCTTCCAGTTTGGTTACTCACAGAAAGTGCTGCTGGGAATGCACCAGAAATACATACTTAGATGTTCTTTACTCTCAAATAATGGCAAATACAACCAGCACTAGAGATGCTGAGCACTGATGTTTATTTTCTTCTCCTGGTAGTATAGCTCTGAAGTAGGAAAAATCCTGTTGAAAATACAAGGCATTTATATAGGTGGCATGGATGCAGAGAGCTCAGTGCTTAAAGAAAAACATCAAGTTTTTTTAGTGACAAACAAACAGGCACATTCCTAAAAAGCAAGCTTAAGGCATCAGTGTAGTATCCCTGTGTGTCGCCTGCAGTTACCACAGGACAGGGTTAAATATCCCAAATGTGCACATCTATCTACAATTTACATGAAATACAGTGATTAAAAATTGTGTATTCTCAAATTAAGGAATAATTACCTGAAAGTCTCAAACACAGTAACAATAATTTTAAATGTTAATCTAGTAAATGTTTATAACTAATTTTGTTTTACAGTCTTGTGGCATTTCCAATACAATAGTTCCATACAGAGCCTAAGTCAAAAGAAATAAAAAATTGCCAGATTTTCACAGCTTTGAGTTCTACTGAAGGCCATCATGAGGTCAGTCTTTGTGATGATCTCCCTTGAGAATTTTCCAGCCCTAGCTCTCTGGATATGTTTTTCTGTCTTTGGACAGTTTTTCTTCCCAGCCCCTCTCATTACATGGAATAATACATCTTCTGTTTCAGTTTGAGGCTATTGTGTAATGTTCCACAAGTCACATCTTGGAACTAGAGTGCTCAGCGTTCTTCTTATGCCCTTTTCTTTTTCTTTTTTTTCTCTTTTTCTGCCTTACTTTGAAAACATCTCCCTCTGTCTGCAGTTGCAGATGTGTTCACCAGTAGTTAATTCCGTAATTTCTTGAATTATTTCTGCCTTCCATCTATTTCATGCCTTCTCTACCTACATGTATAGGCAGAAAATAGTAATAGCAGCAACACTTGCATTTCTAAGTGCTGCCCTTCTGCAGTACCCCTTTGTATGTTCTCGTTTCTTACCCCTGCTACTCCCAAACTCCAGAAAGTACCAGGTACCAGCTGCTGGAGATGCTGTGCTCCTGCGGGTAACACTGTGTGTCTTTGTAAAACTAAATGTGTCAATAAAAGTGCCTGCGCCCATCGCGAAAGAATAGCAAACATATTCTGGCACTTGAGAAATGAGCTGAGAGGTTTTCCGGCTCTTCTACCCTGAAACAGGAGCGGTTCCAAAATCCCTGGAAGGTACAACTTGCCGTACTGTGGACGCCAGAGGGCAGGCGAGGCCCCGCTGGCTCCCGGTGCTCCCGGCAGGACTGCAAGCTGCCACCCGAGGGCCGGGAAACCCCCTGGACCAGGGATGGACACACGGTCGCACCGGGAGAACACGCTGCTGCGAATGTGCGAGCGATCGCCGGATGAGCAGGGAAGAGAGGCCTCGTCATCGGAATGACAGCGCTTTAGGACGTGCAGGGGGAAAAATGAACAGGTGAAAAGGAGTAGACGAGCAGGTGTGCCGCAGGTACAGGTCAGAGGAGGGATGGGCATTATGAGAAACCAAAGCTCCGCCAAGGCTCCCACAGCACGTCTCTAGCAGAATCCGGCATGTCATTCTGCGGAACAGAGAGGCAGCATCCAACGTGAGTGAGGCCGAAATGACCCACATCTCAGCTACGTGTTACGGGATGTCAACCAAAATGTGACTTTAACAAGATGCTGTTCTTTATGTTCATCCCACACAGTCATTGAAAACTCCTGAATTTTTAAGGGACTGATTGAAAAAATCTTTTAAGAGAACTGCAGGTTTTAAACAAGTCATCTTCATTACCTGCAATCCAAAATTCTCCTTTTAGTATATACGTGGGATCTAGGTATGTATTTTCTCATTGCTTCAACCTAAAAAAAAATGCACAAAACAAATGTTCCAACATTAAAGCTTTATTCATTCCAGGACTTGGCAATAATGCATAAACCTCAAGTCAATAGCTGTGAGTGAACTGCACATATTTCTCACAGTACATTTAATTAAGCTCCCAAAGGTTTTAATTTTAAAAGATTTTAAAAATTTTATATTCTCCTATAAACAGGAAAAGTTCTTCACGTGGTCTGATGGGAATATCTACAAGAAAGCATTAGAAACTGCATCTTCAAGCATCTTTTTCTCCCAGCTCAGTTACCAAATTCATTTCCTTCATTGGTGCTCAACCAGCTGCAAGGTCTGAGAAGTGCATAGTGCATTTTTGGCACAAAAAGTGTCATCTATGTGGATTTAAAAGTTGTATGTGTATAAAAATAATAACGTGCAGTGATAATTCGAGGCAACCTAAACAAAGGAATCCAGACAAGGAAGAATTCAGCAGCTCGTCAAGCCTTTCCAATGATCCCACTAAATAACTGATCCCAAGGCTCAGTCATACTATGAGGAACAGAGGACAAGTATACTTGGCATATACTGGTAGCCAACCTAACTCTGTTTAGTCCTGTAATCAGGCAGACAATCAGATAACAGTTACACCGATTTTTTATGCACAGCACAGTGTTTTCCTTCCCCAAGGAGCCCTTCAGCAGAGGGGACTGAGGCTGCCCCTGCTCCCTCTTTACCTTTTCAGGACCGAGGCTGCAGACAGAGCACGCAGGAGAACCCCTCCATGGGTTGTCACACAAGCACAAAGTGCCTCAACAGGAAACTGTTCCAGCCATGAGATTTCAAAACAGTCACAAACGTCCACTTCTTTCTTTAGGCTGTATTCCCTCAAGGTCATCATGATCAGTGTTTTCCCTACTAGACTGAAATTTCTTGAGAAAATATATACCTCTCAAAAGGCCAAGTTAGCTGTTATTGTTACAGTAACATACAGTATCACTTTGGAAATAATGACAAATTATTGTGGAATAATTTTTCTGTCAGTGAAAAGCAGCCAGAACGCATGGAATTTGGCTCCACCAGTAAAAATATCAAACATTTGCTTTAAGTTCCACTTTCTTAGGGGAAAAGAAAAGAAAGAAAACTCATTTTGGAAAGGTCAGAATTTATAGGAGGAAAAGGAAGGCTTAAATCCCTAAAGTGCAGCAGGTCCCTCTGTCCCTTTTAATCATCCGGACTGTAGGAGCTTGGCTGACACCAAATTAAGGAAAACTGGAACCAGATGGTGTAGCTGAAGATTTCTATACTGATCTTTTAAAGCATCACTGGCACACTTGAAGGGAGGTAAAACACAGTTATGTGAGGAAAGCAACAAACTGCAACCTGTGAGAAGTTTCAAAACACTGAGATCTTTGGTGGCTGCATGATAACAGTAGCTGGCAAACACAATGTACAGTGAAAATATATTCCCTTCTCCATTAACTTTGAAGTTTTTCACTCTCTTTTCCCCTTTCCACCAGCAGGGGTCCCACAGACATTATGATACAGTAAGAACTGATAAAAGACTTACAAATACATGGTAGGTTATTTTTCTAGTCGGAGTTAATGAAAAGTCTTCCATTGCAAGACATCATAAAGCTATTTCAGAGATATTCCTCTATCAATAAAAAATTGGCCCTATTTAATGGAAGCTTGGAAAGTACACTGTCAAGTTAAATTTGTACCCACATTAAAAAAAATGTTTAGAAACACATAAAACTGGTAGGAATGTTTACACAATTTAAAAACTTTCCAGTAAGGACTGTAGGCATTAAACAAATCAGCTTGTTACAGAGTGTTTGAAGCCCAAGCAGTAAAACACTAAGTATTCAGGGGTATAATTTGCCTTCAAGCATTTTTTTTAAAAAGGTGCTCTTTGTTATCAACAAAAGTTGTAAAAATAGGTGGGGAAAAAGCAATCTCATGGGTGAGTACTGAGTGGGCTACAGACAGAGGGTTACAGGTTTGCAGGGCAAGATCCTAAACAGGATGGTACTGGTTGTCCTGTCAACAGAGGACTGTGATTACGATTTATAAATTTGCAGTAGCCCTTTTAAGGGCACTTTAGGTTTCAGGATATGAATCTGGTGACAAATTATGGCTCCAGTGGAGTCAAAAGCAAAAATTCTTCAGTGCACACAAAGCAGCCCTACTTCTTTTGTTTCAAAGACTGCCAATACTCACATACAGAGATTTTACTAAATTGCTTGCATAGTACAGCCAAAATATCTTCTAAGAGGTGATAAATTCTTCTCCTTTTTTAGCAAAATCCCTTTAGAGGAGCATAGCAACTCAAAACTGGCTTGTGTCCCCTTTCTGAAGGACACCACTATGTATTACTAGCTGTAGGCCACCAAATCCCTCAACACAGGGCTGCTGCTGAGGCATACTTCGAAAAGTGTCTCTCATGCAGCGTCCTTTTCTTCCTAATGAAGGTAGCAGGAAGATTTCCTTCCTAATGGTCAGCCCACTGGAGCCTGAAAGTCAGCCCAGATCCTTTTTTAGGAGCTATTTTACATGGAAAATGTGATACCAGATATATTAATGATACACTAGTAAGAAGAGAATACACCTCAGCTTCCCTCAGTGTTGTTATTAGATTTATGAAATAGGGCCTTTAAAAGCTCAATTATCTGTGTTGTTACTTTAGTCAGCAACCAAGACTTAACATACATCAGAAGGTCAAGAAAGAGAACATTAAAGTGTCATCTTTAGAGGGGCTTTCATCTATCATAAGCATAACCAGTACAGCAGAAATTTTCTTTATCACTTTTCCCAACACAGTGCAATCCAGATGGAATGGAGAGAATTGATCTGTGTCCATTTGTGTTACCAGCTCACATCAATGCAGTTACTAGATTTAATGATTTCTAGCTCTTCACAAGTATGTTCTTCAGGGGACAAGGTTCCCATCCAGTTGAATTTGATAAATACACATGTAGCATAAGTGAATCTCAGGTTCAGGTGTGGATAATTCTTCCTATTTGTCTCCTGGGAAAAAAGGAGGATGAAAGCATGAGAAAGACAATTAGTTTATTGTCTAAGGATATTCTCCACTGAGGTTTATTCACTGCCTTTTCTCTGAGTCCAGGAGTCAATATGTTTATGCTAAAGAGAGCATCATATAGAAGCTCCTTGTTGTTCTGTCCCTGTATGTCCTACTACACTGCCCCTCCTGTTCCACTGCACCACATTTAGAAAAGACATCAGCAACAAGATGAAGGTGTCTTATAGTAATCTACAATTATAAGTGACAGCGAATATAAAATAATAAGTATCATATATTGGTCTGATTAATGCAGTCTTGTCATATTAATTCATTTTCTTAAAGGCCTGTGCGAAGCTTGTGCAGGGCCAAAGTACTGATCCCTTGTGGGTACTGAAGAGTAGCTTCAGTGGAGACACCATTTTGGGAAAGTGTACTCGAGATGCATGTGCAAGCCACAGGAGTGCACCAAGTTCTAAAACCATGGCAGAGACTGCCAATACCATGAATTTACCACACAAGACAAAATGTTCTCCTCCTCACAGGAATTTCAGAGCAAATCTACCACCTGAAAGTCTGCATGGGGAACTCCATCCTGGTTGCACATGAATTTTCCCAAGAAGTAAATTCCTTCCTCTTCAGAAACATCTTTCATGTCCTTAAAGAAGAAAAGTGAAGAAGAAGAATATTTCCACCATTCCAGAGATAAACCATGACAGCCCAATGGCTGTTGCAGCCCCAGTCACAAGTCTCAGGGCTGTGACTGGGCATGCAAGCAAAAGGAACCAGCAGTTGAACTAAAGAGGACCAAAAAAGGAGCCTTTCCAAGTGACTCACTATAAAGGATAAAAAAAGGAACTTGCATAGATAGCTAAGTTCTTTGGAGCACTAATGATCTCCTCTGTCTGCAACCCTGCTTTGGAAATGGGAGCCAGCATCACAGCATGTGGGCAGATGACTCTGGACAGCTTTCTCATGACATATCCCTGGCAACCCACCCATGTCTCAGCAGCTTCCTTGGTCATTATCCCACTGAAACAAGACACAACAGGGAACATTGAACCATGTTCCAGATAACAAGATCCAAACTGTATGCAAACTGCTCTTGTGACAGAGAAATTCCAGGATCCAAGGCCACCAACAAAACAGGAGGAAAAGATTGGTTGTTTAGCAAGAAGATCTTGCCTGGTTTTTGGTATGGAGGATGCAAATGAAATTAAACACATTCCTATGCTGTTTAAGACAATAGTTTTGGAACACTGCTAGAAATGCTGCTAAGTGTCCACATAAGAACCTCCATCATGGATATATTTGACACTAGATTAGCAGCAGGGGGGATTTTTTCCTACAAAATTTTGCTCCTCAGTGGAGATACAGCCAAATAGGGTGAGTCTGCAGGTCTTTAACCCTCCATACAGATCTCCCACACATTTAGTGAGTATAACAACCTCTACCTTTCTGACCTGGGATCTCCAGTCATGTTCGGCCCACAGCCTTGCAGGTATGAATAGAGACAAAGCAACTGTTACAGTTCCAGATCTGAGTTCAGCTTGAGTCCTCACTCGAGCTTGTTCCATCTGCCTTTGCAGCAAAGATACATTTGTTTCTGGGTAACTCGAGTACATACCAAACCTGTACATTTTGTACAGCATGAATGAAATCAAACAAACCTGCACAAGAGCTAATATTAGCTGGGCCTCAACTACCCAATACTCAAATAATAATCCATTTAAAAAGCAGTGTTTTCATTTAAACATGCAACATAAATAAAATGTCAGCTAATGCTACTAAAAGACAAAAATATGATTCCCATAACTTCAAAAATCTCAAGCACCTAAAAGCCACGAAACGCATGTCTGAAGACATCCGTTCTCACAAAGCCCACATTTTTAAAAGCTATTAAAAGCACATACTTCATCACAACAGTAATGGTGTTTGCTCACAATTTTATCAAAACTCAACACTACATACTTTCTTTGCTGTGAAACACCAGCAAACTCTTTCTCAAGAAGCAGCAATTATCAGCACTTTCTGGAAAAATATTGGTCAGAGGATATCACATCCCTAAAAGCAACTTGTTAAATCCACTGATCAGAACTGAAGTTCTAAGTCAACAAAAATGGTCTTATGTCCAAAGGATATGTTTAAGCTGCATGAAGTTAGAAGTTCTGCACTTGATCTCCCATGTTTGTTTTCTGTGAGGGACATAATATAGGGACCACACTGTCAGTTTAGCAGCTAAATTGTTTGGTTTGGAAGTATTGATTTGTTCCAATTCAAAGTTGTTCTGGAATTGTTGCAGGTTTCCTTTTTGACCCTCAAAAGACCAAGATATTTTCTCTTTATGCCTAGCTGCCAAGATCCAAATCTGTATTTTCTGTGTTTCCCCGGTAACAGCTGGTGATGTCATAAATTTACTAAATGGTAGAGGGAGATGCTATGCTCTGTGCAGCCATGAAAGTCTGGAAGAGAACCGCTAGCTGGCTCTCTGCCCAGCTGCCAACAGCATTCACCTTCTCTGCCTGCCCAGCTCTGTATCTGGATCAGTTTGGAGAGTTCCCCAGAAGGCCTGATTCCTTCTTGGCAATGGGAGTGGAATTCATAGAAATTATTTCTACTGTTTCAATCTTGAGCGCTTTGTGAGCTCAGTTTGCTGAGAACTGTTTTCTAAGCAAGGTTTGTATCTGAAATGATGCTTGGAGTGTTTTGTTTGCTTTCAACCTGATCAGAACTGTCAGTAAGCTCCACTGCCACACACATCACTGCTGTGAAGACCAGGGAGCTCCTCTGAAGGGCCATACCCAGGGAGGGTTGGCAACTGGTTCCTGATCAGCCTGGGTTACTCTGCCTAGAACTGTGTCACACAGGAAAGAGTCGGGAAATGGAGGAACAAAGAGAGCAGGTATAATATTCTGGTGCCTTACCAGGAGCATGACATCCAGAAAAAGTGCATATTTCCAGTAGAATCTATAACACATACAAATGTACTCCTTCACTGGAAGTTTCACGTCATTTCACAAAAGAGTCACCTGCAAACATTATAGCATATAGATGAGAGGAAAAGAGCTTTCCCATCACTACATACTAGGAGGTAAAAGCAACAATCAGATAATTATATGTATAAAAATTCCTTTGTTTGTGTACTGCAGTCACTTGTTTCCTGGCATACAGACAATGAAACTGGCATTCCAGTCCTGAGATATGACTCACAACTACGCTGAAAAGAAAACAGGTCTGCATGTTATTCTTAGAAATTAAGCAAAGCGCTATGTATTCTAATTCAGGGCAGTTCTCTTTGAGGAAGAAGCCAAGGAAGAGAAAGATTTAGGTATGTTACAGAGTTATCAGTACGATTTGAATCTGATTTGTCCAATGATTTCAAAGAAAGATCCTTCTAGATCCTCCTAGACACAGTCCCTGTCATACTTCAACTGGATACTTTGAAGTAGATAGGAAGTAAGGGAATTCTGTACATAAAACACTCACAAGGCAGCTTAGTTGCCCGTGACTGAGAGACAAAAGAGACTGTATATTTTTCAGGGTCTGTACTCCTTGCAGGTTAAAGACAAATCTACCAGAAGCAGATACAGAATTTCTGCAGAAGTTTTATCAGCACTCTACAGAGATAATGTGCCTCTCTATTTTATGCCTGCTTTGGAGTTCTGATGTATCTAGAATGAGGAAACACTACCTGTGCACTGCATTGCAGTGCCATATGGCTCAGATACAACAAGCAAACCCAGCTCAGATGCCTGTACATAGCTGTGTGACCTTTAAGTTAACCTTGTCATCCAGGGCTTTACTGTGGGATATCATTGTATGGGTAATTGTTCCTGGTGTCATTTTCAGAGTCAATGCATTGCCCATCTCCAGACAAGGCACAGAAATTTCACTGGTGACCCCAGCTCAGCCAGACCATGAGAGTTACAGGAAAAAGGAAGAGATGTAGATGAGTGGGAAAATAAGGACAGCTTTTCCTTCTCCATTTCATTGCTCAGATCCAGTTTTGAAAGCTTACAGCAGAGCAGTGCCTCACAAACTCTTGTCATAGGGGACATCCCAGGAAAGATCAAAGAACTGCACCTACTGAGAAATACTGTTCTTGTCTACATCGAGTGTTCCTTAAAGTCTGGTGTAAAGCTTTTTGGAAAGGCTCACCATCTGACAGCTGGTGTCTCTTCTTTGCCTCTTCCTTCTTCTCCTCAATTGAGCAAATAATGAGTTTGCTTGGTATTTCATCAGCACCAAAAATTAATAAAGTAAATTACTTTGAGAGATAAGATCCCCATTATTTCCCTTCTTGTTTATACATCTTTAGCCTAGGACTAAGTTCTTGCATGAACCATAAGAAAACAAAACAAAAACCCACAAAACCCAAACTCCCTAGACAAATAAGAGGAATTCAGAGCAGAGTGATGAATTCTACAGTACTCTTTAGAAAAGATGCCTAGGAAGAATATTACTGCTAGAAAAGTAATCATCTTCACTACTGGTGCAGAGTGAGGAAAAGAAAGCCCTAGGCCAAAACTGGTATCAAGCTTATTTTATTAATTTCTGGTATTAAATCATAAAACATTTGAAACCATTAAAAGGCCAAACTGGACAGCTGAGACCAATTATTCAGGAAAATACAACTATGGGAGAGGAATCCTCTCCTGAACATTAGCAAGAAACACAGGGAACTGCCCAGCTTCAGTCTCACTGAGGATATGGAATCATCGTTGATATTTTTAGCATTTTCAGCAGTGATGGACATCTCTAAACAGAAAGCAATTAAGGATTTAATGCCCCACCAAAATGTTTTGTTAGCTTCTGTAATAAACATCAAAGTACCTGGACCTTAGACCCAAGAGCCAAATAAATATATAATGATTTCATTATCTATAAGAAAGAGTGAATTATATCTGGTAATACAGCATTAAGAACAATAAAGCATTAAGTGCATCACCACATTGGCTTAAACTAGGTAATGTCATATTTTAACATCAAGTGTCCTTACAAAAGGTTAATGAAGGCAGATTGTGTTTTTCAAAATAATTATCAAGTTAATGTTTACCAGTCTGAGAGTGGTGACATTGGAATGCAAGAGTGAGGGGTCACATAACATTAGAAAGCTGACTAAGAGGTATTACTTGTAGCATAAGATGTGTAAGCAATGCATAAAATCTACAAGCACATATGCATATTTTATGTTTTGAAGGTGATACTGACATGCCTCACGGTTTATAGAGAAGAAATGCTATTAGAAAAATAGATCTCTGTAACCAGTTTAGCCTTCTTGCTTTTATCAAGCACAGGAGACATTACTTATATCACAGTGAAGAGTGTTATCTTTTAGAAAACGATGCAGAATACTTGCATGATTTGAGTATAAACTTAAGGCCTGTGGTTTTTCTTGTGCAAACACAAGATTTCCAGTAATAATTGCAGCTGATGTCTTGTGGCTTTTTAGAAGGATGGGGCTATTTAAAAATCCCAGTTATTAAACTGTGCTGTCTTCATCTTTATATAAAAGGTAACAGCTTGATATAGATGGAGCTTATTGCATCTGCTATATTTGCAGAATGTGCAGAACACAGATATGCTCTCCAACAGCCACAGAGTTGCCACAGAGTATTTTCACCTTGGTGGCCACTTATTTTTTACTATTCTGAATGAAAGAGATTTTACAGCTTCCTTGGCACTCAACAAAAAAGAGATCATTCTTCTCTACCAAATAGTGGTTAGAAGTGGATAGCAGCCCACTGAAAAATACCATCTTAGAGAAATTCTAAATTGGTCTCTTCATTTTTCTGAAGCTGAGAGGTGCTTTAGATATCCTCCAAACCAAGGGATAAGTGCCAGATGTACTAGAGTTTGAGATTCCTCATTTTTATGTTTTTCTTTAGTAAGGAGAACTTAACTTTTTGCTTTGCTAGCATAAACTGGCTTTCTTCATGCATTGTGCCTGGTATGGAGACTGACGCCAACACGACATATCCTGCCCTCCCAATGCAGCTGTTCCATACAGAGATGTCCCATTAACAGAGCCAACTGCTGGGATATGAATGGAAATCTGTTCCTGAAGAGGTAAGAGTTGAAGTGACACCACTCCCATTGGGAGCCTCATATCATCATAAGATCTTTACTCAAAAGAGACTTAGTTGTCACTTTATTATGGTTCTGTCTCCATTCTCCCTTTCTCCCATCTTTCATCTCTATCACATATCACAATTCTTGATACTTTGAGATTATTCTATTAGGCATACAATTACCCCCTTGTTTATGGACATACATGTGCATTCAACCAGCTTACCTTGCAGGGAACCCCAGCTCCTGCTACTGTGTAGAATAGCCAAGTTCACACAGATGGGCAGGGGGAGGCTCTCCCTCCACCCTTCAGTGATCTACAAAGAAGAAAAGACCTTTACTGTAAATCACATTCATACTCTCTCTCTCTCTCACTTAAAATGGCTTTAGCCAGGGGTAACTCTAAACGTACTGTAATGTTTTGACACTGGAAAAAAGACTCACTATGTCAATGCCAATCCATTCATGAGCTCACACAGCAGCATGGCAAGTTCTGGCTACTGATACAGTTACAAAAAGATGCTGAGTAAGGACAGCATAATTCCTAATGCAAATATTTCTTCTTTATTGTGCTGACAGTTAGATCTCTGAATAAGCATATTTCTCAATTCTGTCCAATACTGCATTTCAGTATGATCACATGGTCTAAGCTCTGCTGAGATCAACACTGTAAACCCCCCAAAATGAAACTGAGCCATCAAATACCACATCTAATTTCCTATATACCTGCCAATGAAAGCCAGACAACTGTAAGTATCTGTGCTCCAGAGCAGTAGCTATACACTGAAGATGTGCAGGGGGTCTGGAGTCATCAGCACAAGTGAGCAGATTCAGTTGCTCTCAACACCGCATTACTCAAGCTAACCCTGAACTTATAATAAAGAGATTAGTCACAGAAATTTTTAAACAACTAAAAATCAAAATATGGTTAAACCACAATAGTTGCCATTTGTGTCTGGGAAACTTAATTTTGTTAATTATAAGTAACAACTGAGTTGCAACGGGATCCTGCAGTTTACTATGTACTAATAAATTATTTTTACAAGGCCACGTTACATTTTCCTATATCATCAGTATTTACAGCCACAAGAACATTAATAAACTATAAGCGTGCCCTAATACGTATATATATCTATGTGTGTGTATGTATGATATACACACTAACATATTTACCCTTCTTTAAAACTCTGTGCACTTAGCTTAGAAAAGCTCCACTCTGAAACATCAAGGGTGAAGGGGAATAGCTTTTCTTGTACAGAGTAAAAGGTATTAGCAGCTGTCTCCTGTAGTGTCATTCGTGCTCTGGAAGAGGCACTTGACAAACCCCAACAGGAAAATGTCAGTAAAGACACAGGCAAAGTTCTGCCAGGGGAAAAAGTGACTTTCATTACTGATTGTCACTGACTTCCAGCCGTAAGTGTGCAGGGAGGAACCAACCCTCAATTATTTTATTTATAAGTGTTGGCATACATTTTCCCTGGATTCTTGCCTAGGATTCTTGCCCTTCTCTCGTACCCGCCACCGTGAATTGGGATTTACTCCACTCAAGCAAAACCAGTGGAAAAAACCTCAGGTATTCCATTTGTTTTTCATGAAGAATATTTGCAGTCACTCTTTACCATTTCATGATGACAAAGCAATCTCAGAATTTAACTTGATCAGCTCCTTCACCTTCTTCAAATAGTGACATTTGGCACAATTACCATAAGGAATTTTTAAAAATAACAGGAGCAGCAATAACAACCATACTCTGAACTTGCTTCTTCTGATTAGGAAAATGTAGCTGTCAACAGATAAGAATGTCATGTAAATTTAACACTTTTTTTTGGAGAGCTCACAAGGCCACATGATGACAAAGTGCATCTCATAAACACTTCTGGGAGTGAAGGGCTGAGCAGGCTGCAGGCAGAACTAGCACCAATACCCTCAAGGGCAACAAAATAACTCTCAGGAGCCCACAGAAAATTATGAATATGGCTGTGCTGAATGAGATGCAGTCAAAATCCTAAGGCTGTTTTGAAGCAGACATGATTTTGTAGAACATGAATGTTATTAAGTTCTGGTTTCAGTTTTATCGTAAATATTATTAATGACTTTTCTCACAACAATCAAATATTCTTGGGATAAAGCTCTAATACTGGCTAAATGAAATAAATAGAACATACCATGTTCATTGTTTACCCTTGCATAACAACTTGCTTTACTTTTGGGTCGCTGGGACTATTGTACCAAGAGCTTATTTAAAATAAGGAATAAAATTTCTGAGCAACCATGTATTCATGTAACTGGGAAAGGAAGAAAAGAAAAAGTAGGAGAACAAAGTGACAGCTTTGATCAGATTGCCAGCAATTTGACATGAATGTATCCTTAACTATAATATAAAAAACCCTTATCAAACCCCATCCCGAAAACATCTTACTTGAGACATGTCTATTTTTAACAGCAGCCGGTGTCTGACAGAGGCAGATTTCATCCTCACCTTTCACATACCATGAGGAGGGGGGAAAAAATCAAAAAGAAGAAAAGCAGCAGATACATTTAGTGTTCTCTTTACCATAACAAAGCTTATCTTATTTGTAGGTTTTGGCCTTCAGTCTTTCCTGCTAAGCTGATTGAACTCTTCAGGAAATGATGCATGAGGGGAGGTTTCCAGTCAACTCTGTTGAGGAACTAAAGATTCCCAGGAGGGTGACGATAAGCTGAAATGATAGGTTATGATAGGAGGCATTGCAGATATAGATAGGAAGAACAAACCAGCTTCAGCTAAAGACATCCAAAATGCATAAGCCTGAAAGAGCATTTAGAAACTATCAGCCTGGAAAGACTCCTGCTTCAGCAGAAATGACTTGTCAGGGGCAAGCAGCCACTTCAGGACTTTGTAATCAGTATTTCACAACTGCTGCACTGTAGGCATTCCTCCTGGCAGCATTACTCACTTGGCTGCCCATATGCCTGATCATAATGGTTGTTTCTTGGCCATATTATTACTTCTGTAAGGCAGCAACCTTCCAGCTGCATGACATATGTAGCCCACAGGCATGTACTTTTAACATATGCTGCATCTTGTCCTTTACATTGTTCCTATTAAGCCAACACTAAATGAGGAGACTGGGACTGCTCTGTCCTCTTAGTAGTCAGTAAGTCCCAGAGTAAGAACTGAAAAGCTTCCAGTGTTGCAAGCCTGGCCTGAAGGATTAGGAACAGTAAGGATTAAACATTGTCATGTATCAAACCGGGCCCTCACACTGAGTGTTCTTGCCTTGTCTTTTCCTTCTAAATTACCCTTTTTTTAACCTACTTTCTCCTTTCAAACAGAGAAGTGCTCCAGAGAACTCTTGTAAAACTCATTCTGAATAAATACTCAATGACATTTGAAATTAGATCACATCACTGTTGAGCCCATGAGACTTACCAGAAGGTGCAGTACAGATGTAAGATTTACATGAGCTATTCCTGATTTATACCCATTTAAGTGACAATTGAATCAGAGCAGTACTTTTTCTGCAGTCCAAGATCAAAGACTTGAGTGTTTTACCTGTCTGTCTAAAGAAATTGTCTCATTCCCTTGGTCATTCAGTCAGTTTTGATTTTGCAGTTCAGATAGGAGACTTGCATTCTGTTGGATACTGGAAATAAGCATTTGGTTGTAGAAAAACTCTTTGTTACTTCTCCATTGGGTTATATAAAAAACTTCTAATCTCACCATCCAGTATTTACTGCATTCTTAGCTTCAGGTTATATATATCTCTATGTTCAGATCTCTAGTTCATAGAAATGAGAAGTGGAAGTAGTTAGTCACCCCTAGCTTTCCTCACTCATGTATACACCATATACACATGTACCCACATGACAGAATCTGCTGCATTCAAAACACAGACGACCCAGTGAATCAGTCATGTACTGAAAGATTTAAAATAAACTACCCTTTTTTGAAACAGCAGGCCATGAAGCTTTACTTTGTGCTGGGCATTAAATGGGACCTGAGCAACCTGACTGTCATGATACAGTGTGTTTCCAAACAGTTTGGGCTTACGGATTTGGTAGTTTTTCTCTGATATCTATGCACAGTCTGCACAGAGAAGGAGGCAATATACAGAAGGGGAAATTGCTCTCCTATCTCTCCGTCTTCCTCACAAAGGTGTATGCTGTGGTCCTCCATTTCATGATAAGCTGCAGTTTCACTCCTGATAGAGCACACTGCACAGGCTCAGCATTACTTAAGAAGACTCAGTCTTGGCAAAACGGGAGAAAAAAAGAGGCTTTCAATAACTGATTTTTTTTTTAGCAACTTCAGAAGTTCTGGGAACAAAAGATCTGGCCTGGCTATACAATTGTAAAACTAGAACACAGTTTATGAAAGTCTGCTCTCATCAGGAGCTCAGAACCTCCTCTTGAAAGGTTGAAGTCCTCTAAGCGCTGATGAGAAGCAGCTCTTTTTCTTTTCCCAATGTCTTTTGGCAGTCTTTACTTCCTATTTGAACCTGGGATTAATGCCGGGCTGTTCCTCAAGTGTTCAGACCTGCCGACAATTTGTCAAACCTCTAAACCAGAGTAAGGCCACAGTGCAGAGAAGCAGGGTAAATTTAGCCCATGCTGAAGTCCCACAGCTGGATTCCTCTGCGATATCCAGTGCAGTTCACTTAAAACTAGCTCAGGAACCTCTATACTGTGCCGTGACACAGGCATGCTGCCCTGAGACACATTACCTCTTTAAAGGGTAGTCTTGTGCTCTTGAGAAAAAATCAAGAGGGAATCATAGAAGTTCTTTCTGTACCCTTTAGCCCAAGATCTTTCTGGATTAACCTTCCTTAGCTGAAATGGTGAAAGGGGTCTTTCCGTGGTGGTGTTTGTAAGGTTGAACACCACGTGTCAGGGCCCTGTGAAGGCCAGAGACAGTGGGTGTTGCCTGGGGTACCTGTCCTACCACCCCAGCCAGGCACCAGGGAAGTCTGGGGGCAGCTCCAGCCATCAGGCAACTCCCTGGGCATGGGGATAGGACAACACCAGGACAGGATGTATCCCCATGGGCGGGGTCAGGTTCAGGTCTGGAGCAGGGAACCAAGAGCAGACGTAGCTCCAGGATGGCTGGGCAGGGCCTTGGGGATGGAACTGGGCTTAGGCCAGCCAGAATGTCAGCATGCAGATCAGGCCAGGCTTGGCATAGCCATGTCTGCAGAGCTGGAAATCAGCTTTCTACGGCACCAGGGACTCAACTGCGATACGGATCCATGGGTTGGGCTAAGGAGAGGCCCCATGAGAGGCTGGGCAGGGACAGTGAGGGCCCACATTAGTGCTCCATGGCTCTGACAGTGTGGAAGTCACACCATATGCTCTCAGGGCTATCACAGAGAAAGGACTGTGCAGCTGCCTGACACTAGGCTGTAACCATGTTTGAAAGTTTTGAAACACAAGGAGGAAAAAATTATATGTAAGCCTCCAGCAGGAAACAAAGCATTTTGGTTTGGATTTTTTGCATTTGGCAGGCAGAGGGCATACTCAGCCTAGACCTAAATATAGCCTTCTGTCTGCTTAGAGGCTATTTATTCTTTCTGTCTCTTGACACCAGTATACACAAAATTTATTCAACCTGCAGCAAGTGTATCATTCATACAAAACCATACAATCTGTTTTGGCGAAATCAGCAGCCATTTTAAGTAGCCATCAGTGCGCTGGAGGTGCAGGACTGGCCAGCAGAGTCACAGTCCTCCTTCCAACACCTGAAACTGGTACTGGGAGTTGGGAAATAAGATGTGCAGAACCAGTTGAGGTAACACCTAGGGTATGACTGATCAAGAGTTTTCCAGCTGACTGATTTTTCCAATAAAACGTCACAGATTCTGCTCCCGTACAAAATCACTTTTTTTCTGTCAGCAAAGTCAGAACCACAGCTCTCTGCCCAGCTGCCTCTAAAGCTTTCGTAGTTTTGTTCCTGCCTCCAGGTAAACAGTCTTTTTTGGATCCCTGTATGAATAATAACTGCATGGAAAAATTAGCAACAATGAAAGTTTCAGTACAAAAGCATTATTTTCCACATGCATAGACTCTGCTGTTAGTGATTAAATTAGCAGCCTCAATCTTAGCTCACATATTCATCAAAGAATTTTATTATATATTAAATAGTGCAGCACATATATCCTCAGTTTCGTAACTATTCATCTGGTGGAAATCCAGTTCCTTAATTCACACAGAAGACTTTATCCATTTGCTGGCAAAACTTATTAGTGAATGCAGTGAGTCAAATATATACTACATGTGGCACACAGAAAATTTTTCAACTAAGTATTCACAAAGATCACTTTTTCCTATGCAATATCAAGTTTCTTTATAAATAGACACACTGTTAAAACTGAGCTGCACAGCTGAGTCCCCAGAGGTGAGGGGGGTGCCCCAGATGATGGGGTCCCTGGTATACTCAAATGACTTGGTCCTGGGAGTCTCCGTGGCTCATCAGTACCTTAGCTGCTGGAGTCCTCAGCATTCCTTGCCTTTAGGATGTGGTGGTGATGCTGGAGACACTGACCCAGCCATGGCTGCACTTCCTGCTGTGGGCTGAACCCAGACTCAGTGTCACTTTTGCATGGCCCAGAGGAGCACGGAGATTTGGTGGGGTGGGGGCATCAGGTGATGCTGCAGCAATGGCTAGAACATATCAAGAAGGAGTAGTAGGCAAAGAACTGGGAGAGAAGGGAGAGAGGGAGTCATGGGGGGACACTGGGGAGAGGGGCAGGGACAAGAACACAAGGACACATGGTGTCTACAGGATCCCTGAGTGATTTCGTCCTTCCCAAAGCACAACAACCCTAAAAGATTCCAGGATAGGCTGGTGAGTGAGAGCCCAGGAGTTTCAAGGGGCTGCCTAATATCCATGGTAATGGAAGAGGAGAAGATAGATCAGCATGAACATAGTTTTAGCAGACTGTACCAGGCACAGCTTGTTTCTCCAACAGAAAATTATCTTCTGTAATGATTTGTGCCAAAGGAGGCACCATTCCAAATTAAAACAGAGAAATCTGTCAGGCTCATCTGAAATCAGAGGCCTGGGCTCAGTGCCAACACCCTCCAAAGCAAGGAGTCATCACTGGCATTTGGGGCATCTCAGAGGTGAAATGGTACCCACTCACTGAAAAAACAGATCTCAGCAAGGCACTGAGGGTAGGCTTTCCAGACCGTGTCCCCAGCTTCAAAGGCTGTACTAGGAAACTAGATCCAGTCTATTAAACAGAGCCCACTAGCTGCCGTGGAATGTTTCTGTCAGGCCTCACTGCTCATCCACAGGAGTCCAGAGATGGAAAATGCACCATCATCATGGCATGAAGTTGTACTTCTCTAGAAAAAAACTTACAAATAGGATAACTATATAAACCTGAAGCCTTATGTGGGAACAAGAGCTTAGGCAATTCAGAATTACACAACCTGTTTATCAAGCTAACATCTAAATATCCTGAACAGCAGGGATAAACCCCACTGTCACTGAAGATGAAAGTCCACTGCTGTTTTTAGCAAAGGAAAAATTTCTCACAGGGCATCAAACAGCATTGAAAGAAAAGAAATAAGACTATTGCAAATCCTATGGAGATTTTGCTTTTCATAGAAGAATAAAATGTGAAATATAAGAGCTTCATTTAGTGCTTTGGAAGATAAAAAACCCAAAGCCTTAATCTCTCATTTTTAAGAACATGAATGTGAACCTATCATGAAACATCTATATCAATAAATTCCACTCTATAAATTTGTGTTTCCTGCAGAGATGTGTTCCCAACTCAGAGTACAAAGAGAATAAGCAAGGCAGGTACTTGGACAAAATAATAAACAAAGCAATGTGAATGTATTTTGTGGAGAAAACAGGAAAATTCTTAAACTCCTAGCACATCAATACACCTGTTAAGAAAATAATGGCTATTTATCCCTGCCCTTCTTCAATGCCCGAAAATACAACTAAAGATGTGCAGGCCTAGCTCTTCAAAAAACATTTTTTATTCTAAGAACATCAACTATAAAAATGGTTACAAAAGAGAACTAAGCACCAAAAAGTCTAGTGCTACTGGGAAAAATGTAGCAATATGTACACCTCTGATGGTCCAGCCAGCTGCACAAATCACAGATCAAGTCTGCAGGCACTTCTTCAAGAGCCCTAACTACCTATGTTGCCTCTCAGGTAGCTGCCTTTTGCCTGCCAAAAATGAAATTAATGGGTATTTTCAGTCCAAATCTATTCCCACATTAACACTTGAATCTGGAGATGGTTTGGAAGGCGCACATGCACTTTTCTTATTCCACCCAAGAGTTTTAAGATGGTTCTTTTCCAGGAAAAACGTTGTGTTCCCTTGAACAGAATTATAAATAGGGAGAGGAAATTCAGTTGTGCTGTTTCGTTTCATTTGACTGTGCTCTCTGTTCCAGTAGCAGCACACAGTGGGTGTGATGCAAGGTATTCCAGGACTGGGGTCTGCTCCCAGTTATGGGAAGTGATGCTGCATGAGCAGCAGGTCCACTGACTCCTGATTCTTGAGCTGCATTCACTATTGGTAGGCACTCACAAATCATGTTCAACCAATCCTTCTTTGCTGTTTGTCCAGGTTCTTTCTGCCCCTTCAGTAGATAAGTCTGGACTTCAGATTTCCAAGTTGGGGTCTAACTGTCTACATCTGAAATGACTGTTGGCTAAATGCACAGGCTGCACCACAGCACACGCCTTCTCATCCTCTTTTGCTCCAGATCTCAAAACATATCCATGGCAACTGCAGCTCTTGCTTACAAGAAAACAGAGACAACAAGAAATGTCTAGAATTTCCTTCCAGAGTCTGGCATCAAAACATAGGACGCAAATTCAATGCCTCTCAGTTCCCTGGGAAATGTGGTCATCTCCTTGGTATCCATGGTCTTCTCCAGGGACCCCAGGCCACTAGAGCACCACAGTTAACCTAAATACGCAGCAGCAACCAGACATAGCACTTGGCTCGAAGAGATCCATTTCCTGCTTGAAGGTGTAGAAAAGGTGTGGCAGTAGGAAGAAGACAGTGTAGGAAAAAAAATAGCTCATGATAAAGGAGTAAGATATGAAACAGCAAGCAGCTTGCATTTCATATGGGCAGAAAGGTGAGGTCTAGGAGAAAAAAACTGATGTATTGGAACAGTCTGTTCCAGCAAAGCACAAAGCTAAATGTGGCACAGAGACATGCTATTCACCCACAAGCTCTAAACCTACAGAGGAAGCATACGCCTGTCAACATTTTGACTTATAATAGAATTAACATTACGTTACTGCAAAACCAAAAAAGGCTTAAAAAGACAACCCTGAAATGGAAGAGAAAAATGAAGGCATTGAAAGTGCTTGTCATACTCTGCTGATCCTGGTTGACACGTACTGAGAACAAAAGTTAGAGGGGTTGGATTCGTAAGAGAGTCTTCTACTCTCCAATATTTGTGTGCATTTACAAACCCAACTGATCCTTTGGGGGACAACAGAGTAAGATTAGAATGACACATACCTGGCAAGAGAGACTCTGGATTTGCTGTTGAACTAGTCATCAAAATATGCACTGTGCCTTTTTCTTTCTTTTTTCTTTTCTTTTGTTTGGTTTGGGCTTTTTTTATATTATTGCTCAGATACTTAATCAATTATTCATTTGTAAATGAAGGTCAGGCTTCTTCCTTCCCAGGCATACTTCATATAAACAAAGAAATGGGAAATTATAGTTCTGGAAAGAATTCCAAAAAGGATGTTCCAAGACATCCTACTGTAACATGTGTCTTCTCCTGTTAAGTTGCAGGGATTATATCCAAGGCAGATGTTTTAGAGAAATTATGCTTTTTATTAAACCAGCTGACATAATGGGGAAGAAACAGACTTTTCTCAGCCTTCTGGTGTACTTCAGAGCCTCTGTTTTCTTGTTCCCAAGACTATGCAATTTTGCCTTTTTATTACATCTCTCTACAAAGCTAGCTAGATCGTGCTAGTTATAAGAATGCTACTAAATCATTGCAAATTCTCTGTGAAAAGACACCACAGACATTAAAGTTAAAAAGAAGTTTTCTAAAAATATCTTATCCCTTTGTGCTGATTTTGGA